ATCGGACCTTCGCCGCCTTCCGGTAACCCCACGCAATTGTTCAAGCTGATCTCATTGAAAAGTGGCTTTGATTTTTGGGCGCTTGTCAATTCCGAGGGCTCGAGCTTGGGGTTTGGGATGGACAATACCAAAAAGCTACATCGCCGTCATCATAGCCATCATAGTCAGAGTACTGTCATAGTCAAGCATCAGCTAAGCGCTAGCGTGGGTACCCGAACCGAAGATCGACAATAATACGATCGGGAAAGCTTGCTGAGATGTACTGCGAGCCCAAGGGGAGGAGCGGTTCCTCATGCAGCCGGGACTCTGTGCTCTGCTTCCTGCAGCTGCACGCGAGGGGGGTAGTTCAGGATTGAGGTGTTGAGAGCCTTTGTTATTCACGAACGATATTATGTCAATTATTATGTCAATCTGTGAGGTGTCGCGTCGCTGCCAAACGGTTGCTCTTCTACCTAGAAGGCATCCGGTCTCCCGAGCCCTTTGCACTGTTCTTTGTTGACCTCTGCCCTCACCAGGGCCTGCATGGCACCGCGCTCGTAGAGGAGCGCGCCTTCACGGCTGGTTGGCAGGGAAATGTATGGCACTGCCATCCTCTTGACATTACAGTCTCGAAACAGGCATTCTTCAAACCAAGAAGCCTGAACTGCAACAGGCAACGGCACGAGACAGCGTGAGTTGCCAACGAATGCATGCAGTCAGCAGACGAAGTAAATAGCCCTGTGATGTCAGTCCCGGACCGAGATCCAGATGTGCTGCCGGCTCGCCGGGCACCAGGCTCAGGGCACTGCGGAAGCCTCAGACTGTGATTGTCTCTGGGGCAAAACGGCCAAAAATAGGTCCGCGGCGCACAGGCGTACGTGTTGTTGTGGGTACCGGAGCGAGTCAAGATAGGAAGATAGGTGCTGAATATAGTTTTTGTTGCAAGTCTTCGGGCCAGTTACACGAACGAGTCGTGTAGAAGTGGCACTACTCACTACTGATGGGGAAACAAGCAGAATAGTCCGACCCACTTTGCGTGGACATGAGCATACTATCTTTTTATCAAGCTCCTCGGAGTTTCAATTCTCAGGCTTATTAATATATATATATATTCATATTTATATTTATATTTATGTTTGTATTTATATCTATATTTATACATACAGATATGTTAAAACATAGGAAATAACGTGTATAAGCTAAAAATATACTATCTAATCTCCAATACATATATATATATATGTATCATACAATCTTTATTTATGTGTATATATACATTTAAAAAAATAAATTACATATAAATTAAAAAAGTATCAGCTCTAATATGTACTATATATAATATAATAAATAACATACTATATAATATAGATTATATGTTATATAGTATATAGTATATATATATATTATATACTATCTAATATATAATATGCAATATACAATATGCAATCATATATAACATATAACATGTAATAAATAATATAAAGTATATGCTATATGTTATATTATATATATATACATATATTATATTTATTTTTAACATATATATATATATATCATATATAGTTTAGAGTATATACTATATAGTGTATAGTTTCTAACATATTATGATAAGTACGAGATAATCTATACATATATATAGTATATACAATATAACACATATCATATATCATATAACATATGTAACATGCAATATACAAGATGTAAGATAAAAGTATATGACATATAATACATAGAGCAGGGTCTGCGGACGCTCCACAAATGTACGTTAGCAGTCCGACGCGTGCGCCGTTGCGGCCCACAACCTGAGCAGCCCTCCCAGAAGGGGCCAGAGCAGCCCGCCCCACCACACATGCGGCGTTGCGCCACAACCTAAGTGGTCACCCACAAAAGGCGGCCCCGCGGAAGAGGCCAGAGGAGGCCTCTCACACCACAGCGAGAGCATCGCGAGACGACAAAAACACCGAGAGGGTTGCACGGTGCAGAGGCCGCCCCACCGTGTGCGCCTCTCACCACACCACAGCGAGAGCGAGAGCATCGGGAGGCGACGAAAACACCGATAGGGTTGCAGGGTGCGCAACGCAATTCGCGCGAAACCAAAGCGAGAGAGTCGAAACGAAGGCCCCGCCCCACCACCGCGTGCGCCGTTGCGGCCCGCATCCAATTCCTTTACCCTCAATGTCAGAACCTTTGTGCAAGCACTTTTTGGGGAATATCATGTATCATATATCATATATCATATATCATGTATCATGTGTCATACATATATATATATACACACAACACAAGATATATAAGATACATGTATATATATTTTATAATACATTGGGCCGGGTCTGTGGACGCTCCACAAATCTACGTTAGCTGTCCTCCTCCCCCCCCACCCCCCCCGCCCAACCACTCGGAAGCACAGGAAACCACGCGTACAGATACGCGCCGCTCTCCAACTACACAACACACGACTTTAGGGGTGAACGAGAAACTTGGGTTGTTCATAGCCGGGCACTCAGAGCAAATGCGGCCTAGGGACTGGAGATTGCCGGAAATCTGTCCGGGTGGTGAATCTCACCACTGATGCGCAAGCGGCCACTGGACCTCTTCCCGGCTGCAGTTTAGGTTCAAGTTGGGACTAAAAGCCGAGGATTGAAGGTATGCTGTGAACGTGTAGGCGGAGGTGTGCATTTGCACAAGCACAAGTAATTACACCTGCTGGCTGCCAAGAGTCGCACTACCCTACACCGAGTGTCGTTGCGGTATACCCCGACCTGCGCTTGCTTCGAACAGCGAACCTTTGTGCAACCCAACTTCCCTTTGGTGGTCTAAAGCCTAAGGCTAGCTGCCGCGCCGAGCCACGTCAGGTGCTGCACTGCTGGGTCACTCAGGACATGGTACTCGCAACCTTCACAGTTCAGCTTCAGATGATCCACCTCTTGGATCCCCAGGGCCTCCTGCAAGGGCTGAGCACATTCTGTGTTATTGATTAATATTCGGACATGAAGCGTCGATACACAACAGATCGAGCGATTCCTCGACACCTCGACAGTCATGACACCCTTATCTCTTGAAGCTGAAACACCAGTCGCGGCCAAGGCCGGAACAAGACAACATAAAGCCATACAGCAACATGTACTCAACAAACCCTGTAACTTTTCATAAGGGGGAGCCCGCCCTCCTACGTAGCCCTGAGCACAAAGCCGCCGCTCCAGGAGGTTCCCCAGGGACCAAGCTGGCACCCTGAAGCATGCCACACCCTTTCCACAGCTGCCCCCAGCGAAACCGGAGCGGTGACTTTTGGCGATGTCTACCTCGGTTTAAAGCTTGAGGACCCATCGACGAGGTTGCGACTCCAGCTTCCTACGAAGCTTCTAGTTCGCAACGCGAGAATTTAAAGCATGCGTCGGATGCACTACTGCTGCCAGCTTATACACAGCTTTTCCCGCGCACGAAAGCTTCTTGAGCATGAACCGAACAACTGCCTTCCAGAACGAAATTGTTAGCAACACGAGCGCAAAGGTTCTTGAAGGGTATCGTTCAAAAATGCCGCAGCAGAAGATGCAGTAGTCGTGTACGACTACGGGATCTGGAGCAAGACGTATGCTGACAGCCGCAAACATAATCAACATTGCTTAGGGTTGCTCTCATGTCCATACAGTACGATGTCGATCATGTCTGGGCTGGGGTGGTGCAGCCTTACTGGCAACTTCTGGCTGGCTTGTCCCTCAGGATGTAATTCGCCTCAGACATGTGCTCCCGCTGAATGCGACATCCATGTACATAAACCCTTCTAAGTCTCTGAACACGAGAGCGATGATTCAATTCCGGGCTTGCTTTTAGGGTCAGAATCAGAAATCACGGCGATCTGAGATCGAGTTGGTTAGCTGTGTAACAATGGTCGGATTCGTGCTCCAAGGCTGAGAACCTCACGTATTACGAGTTCCAAGGCGCATCGACCCGCAAAGTAACGCAGTCCGCCAACAGCCCCGAGGAAGGGTCGCAGCGACCAGATCCGTCGCCGGACAAAGCTGCATTGATCGGCCAAACACGATCCTTGGTGCGATTGACCCCGGGAAGTGCGAGCAGACAGACGTGATGTGCGAGTTCGGATATTGGTGGTTGAAACCTCCTGATTTGTCGTTCTGGCCACTGGCAAGGAATGGAAAGGATAATGATGGATTCACATAACGGGAAAATGCTCTGGCGACATGCAGCCCTCCCCTCTGATGGATCGCTCGCCCTACGACCCTACGACTATGAACTCCCAAGTGCTTCTTTTGGATGTCATGTGTTTGACCTGGGTATAGATGACATGGTGCATCTTGTCATGTCCGTCTTAGTTCTCTTGGATGACAAATCACCCTTCCCATCGCGAAAAACGCAGGTCAAGGTATCAGATACCTTTGTTCAAACACTCTGATCCCCGGCTCCGACTGCCAAGCCGGGGTTCCGTCACATTATTGGCTCGGATGTTCCAAAGCAGCAGCCGGTAGATCAGGGGGTTCGCTTCGATTGCCAGCGCTGAGCGCTGCCTTGTTGCCGGGAATTTCGCACAAGAGCAAACCCTGTCGCAATTCAGCCGGCAATAGAAGTACGCGAAGCAAGCATCCCAAAACGCTGGACTGACACTCCAAGCCCAATCCCGAAATCCTCAGCCTCAATTTAAAGGCTTGGGGTTGCGGGGTGGGCCGGCGGTAGTTGTGGGCTGCGGCTGGATCTGGCTGGTGCAAAGCGTGACAGCTTCTGCAGGTGAGACAATGGCTCAAACCGCAGACGTAGAGGCAGGGAAACCCAAGCCTCGTGTTTCAAACCACCAGAAAGAATTGAAGTGAAGTGACTAGCCAGATAGACGGTGGTTCTTAGCAGAAGAACAAAGTCCGCTAACCTCCACTTGCCAGCAGATCTCCAATTAAGGCTGTCGACATTCTTGCAGCCAGGTAAATGGACCGAAAACCAAGATTGGCGCCAACGTCAACCTGCAGCTTGTGCACCCGGAAAGGCTGCAGTGTGGAGGTTTGGAGGTTTCAAATTTAAGATGTCTTGCGAAGCTTCTTGATTAGACGGCTGGCAACATGAACAGTGCTTTGCTGCCGGCGGCGGAAGAGTTTCTCTGCGCTGCGAACCAGGGGTATATAATGCTTGGACAGCATGCTGGCTACATTGCTTGACATACTTCTACTCTGCTGTAGAGGTCGTTCCTTGTATCTGGACATCTTGTAGCTTGGCCGAGCATCCGTGGTCGCCCCCTCGATGCCCAACATGTCTTCCTCCTGCCTGCAAGTTATCTTTCCTAAGCAGGGATCGGTTGCTATGCTTGTCCCTCCAACCCCGAGCTCATGTCAGGATCGGAAAGCCAGTGAAGAAATCCGTTACATGTGCATTTAATTCAATGCGTATGCCGTGGTCATCAAGCATTCATTGCAAAGACGGTTCACCTAACCTTTAAAAATACCAGTTTCCAACCAAGATGTAGCCAGGTTCACCATGTGTTCAACCCTTGATTTTGCACACACGTTTCAACAATCGTGTCCGCGCTTGAGCACGCAATGACACATGAAAGAAGGACACTATTTCCAGAATTGTACGGCTCTTGAAAGACCCTCTTCCATCATCTACTTCGACTTTCTCGCTAGCATGGCACGGAAAAGACCGCTGGGACTGCGCTACACATGCCTCTAAAACACCGGAATAGCTCGGCAGCCTCGTCAACAAGTCCGGCCACGGTTTTGAACAGACCAGCTTACAATGCACAGCGACAGATGATGTGAGAAGCAATCAATGCCCAAACCTCCTTCAAAGCCCAGTTCATCTCCGGACACTCTAGATTCACAACATAAAACCCCGAAACCTTCAGCCCGGAACCCTAAACCTGAAGCCCGAGGCCCCAAGGTGTCGCGACAGATGTCATCTTCTGGTCGGGCCTCCCTCTGTCCTCCAAACCTCAGAGGCCACAGGCTGCGTTGGCATGAAGAATCCTGAAACTTTACGTGGGAAACCCACGCTTCAAATGCTCTTTTCTTCTCGGAGTGAGCCTTGTCAAGTTCATGGCTGTGGTAAACTAAGTGGATAGACCTGAGCTTCGAGGCCCTCCACCCAAAACTCTCGAACGCTTCCTACACGAGGTTTGCTGGGTGCGGATGATGTGGGCCTGCACGATGACACAACCTGGGATGCTTCAAGGCGCATTTACTGGATCAGTTAAGACCCAGCCACAATCACAACACCCGACGGGGCATGCTCGTGCTACAACATGAGCCGTTTCGTTCGAGATCCCTATTTCGGAGTTGCCAAGAGGCTTGCAAACTCGACGTCCAAGGCATAGGTGCCGAAAGAACAGCGCAGGTCGCGAAAGTCTAGGCCCGAGCTCTGACGACGACCAACGAACCTGACAGCTTGCGGTGTCGGGCTACCGGTGTCGACATTGGACACAACTATACCGACGTTGCTGAAAGTTGGTCCTGATGGTCAGTTCGCAGGTTTTGAATCTGAAGAAACTCGATAACGAAAGCCATCCCACGAAGCTTCAAGCATCGGCGCAGGTATGTAGCACGAAGGCTGCGAAGCCCCCGATGGTGACGGAGGCATGTAGTGAAAGTGGTATAACTAGTGGGAAAGGTCGGTAGTAAGCAAGGATGTAAAGAACACCATAGCGTCCAATAAACAAAGCAGGGTAAAATCACCGCAAAAGCGAACCGGGAGTTTTGGCAAACGTACTGATACTAGTTACTAGTAAGACACAGTCACATAATCAATGCCGGACTAGATTTGCGGCACTTCGTGTTACCAAAAGACTGCCGATTGCATTACATCCAGCCTTTAATTTATGCCAACCTAATAACAGTGGGGCACAGCAACGGCAGTGATGGGTGAAGTTTGCATATCGCAAGTTGGACGCCCGATGGCACATGCACCACTTCCCTGCTGAAGAACTTGCGTCTTCTCTCACTGCTATGGCTCTAGAGCTTCCTCTCCTTGCAGACAGGAGGCCGCATCATCCCACGCTCCCACAAGCGCTGCTGACCTCGACACGTAAGCAGCACAGCATGCGACACACCAGATCGGTTCAGTGCCGCAGTGATGCTTACAGGAACTACTCGCGTCACCTTTGAGGTCGTAGCATCGTGTCCAGAACACCAAACAGGCCATCCTTCACGGCTAGTTGCTTTCGCACACTGCCTATCTCCTCAATTCTGAAAGACGAGTCGACGTGAACCCGGACATACGAGCTTGTTCAAAATTGCTTTTCCTAAGATGGATCCGTCGCTGTGCTGGTGAGAATCCTCGTTGGCTGCTGCACCTTAAGCTAGCTAGCTCCTCCGGCCCTTCATGAAACCCCGGACATACTGTATCCTCCGAAAGCCAAAGCCAGAAGAGCCCCAGCAGCGATCGAAAGAGGGGTGCAAGCCCAGAAGGCTTCCCCCGCAGTTGGGCCAACAGCTTGGTGGGTGCCGAAGTGGCAACGCAGCAGCAGGCATCTCAGCAACGTGCCCAAGTATGATTTCCGGTGGGTCTGGAAACTTGATTGAGACTCAATTCTACTCAGAGAGTCATGCCTGGAGGGATCATGCTGCAGGTGTTTTAAACAAGGCTTGCTTGGTGCGGTTTGTTCGACAGTAGGGCACGTTTTGCTCCGTGGTGCTTAGGCATACCGTCGCAGAGTTCGCTGCTTGTATAACAGGAAGTCTCGAATCCTGAAGGTGTGGCTGGGAAGAACTTTCAAAAAATAGGGAAGGCTCAAACTCCAGCTGAGACTCCCTGCGACAACTACTGCCAGGGCCAGGGTACCCAAACAGTCGTGCTCAGCAAGATGCACTGCACAAGCGACTTCTTTACTCGCACCCTATGTATAAGGCCTACTCAAACCTTCAAACTTCTGTGGGCCGCACGGTGTGCCACACCCCGAAGAGCTTCCTGCCTTCTCCTTGGATGGCCGCCGGACAAAACGACCTATGCAATGCAGCGCTTACATCCCAACATGACAAGCATCCACTGAGCTTTGGGATCCCCCTGCAGAGCCGCTACAGCAAGAGCCTGAAGTTACCCAAGAAGGTGATTCACCTACGTCGTTAGGCAGAAACCCAAAAGTTTCTTCTGACAGCAAGGCCAACATGTCACGTTTGATCGTGCAGAGCTGCTTTCCCTGGTGTCGTGCATACTTGCATTTCATTCTCTGCCGTTGCCCCATCTAGCCTCTTACGTTGCACCATCTTGTAACTCAGGTCTGGCATGACATTTTTTCATTATCCAGTTGCACTCTTGTTTTTTCGCATGCGTGCACTCACCTTTCGCATGTGTTTAAGCAAGCCTGTACATGTACATGTGCATGCATATAACACACTGCAGCACATACGTCGGTATGTCTCTTTACACACATGCACATGCGAGTGCCTATGCCATGCCCGTACTTTTGCACAAGTACACTTACCGACGTATGTTTGCACGCATTTTTGCATGCCATTCACAATTGCAGGCTTATCCAATTACCGCAGACGCGACAGACATGATTGCACAAGCTACTGCAATATGTCTCGCAGAAGCACGTGCGCAACACTGGGATGACCCGATGCATTAGCAAGGGTCGGAAATTGAGAACGATGTCCGTTTCTCCATCCTCGGCAGTGAGCTTTCAACGGTCACTGCATGTAAGTTCTCTCAGAACTTCCTTGCTGACAGGTGTGTGTGTGTGTGTGAGATGATTGACTTGGTCGCAGCTTGTTGACTGGCAGCGGCAAGACTCACGTGCAATGGATGCCTCGTGCACCAGACAATTTCTGCATATTAAAAGTCTTACCTCATCCTCACGCTCTATCACACCATAAAGTCAGCAGGCTGAACAGGCAAGCAAACTGAGCTCAAATGCTTTGGCACTCAGCGCCGTCGGCCAAATAATCACGGCCAGCAGCATCCACCAGATGCGGCCCATGCGAAAAGCCTCAACCTCCAACATCTCCCCGTACAACTCAACATCTGGCCTAAACCGGCATCCAAGACAACCACAAGCCACGATGGCTGGATGGCTTCGTCCTACATCCAATTCTGAAAGCAGATTTGACTCCGCCTTTGCCTGCTTATACCCGCATGTGCAATGACATGCATCGTATCCAACCGCGTGCCACGTCGTCCAGAAGGAAACAGCAGATCACTTGATCCAGACAGGCCGGCTTGTGACAAACGACTTCGTTTTGCACCCACGAAGATGGCAGAAGCAAACTAGCTAGATGTCAGATCTACCGTGAGGAGGCACTCAGATGGACAGTCGCTGAAGGTATAACCTATGAGCCCACCTCATTTGCAGGTGGAGCACAAGTCTTGTGTACTTCCACTCCACACGATCACCGCCGCTCTATGCAGCCCCACATCCCGAAAGCTGCGCCAACCCTTATTCAAACGACATTACCCGCAACAAAAGGCAGTCATCTAGACTCTAGACAGTCGACCTCTTCGCTCAGAAACGGCTCGGTCTTTCATTGGCAGGTGATCTTACAGAAAGAGAACCCACCTCCTCAGCCAGGGGAGCTAACAACCCTTGAGGCGGAATTGTGACAATTGGTGGCTTCATTGGGGGGGCTCTTGCAAATTAACGGGGGTGCTTTGCGTTTTGGCTTCGGCATACAGGGCGCCGTGCAGTGTGGGAAACTCAAGCAACGTCACTCTCAAAACCCGAGATGGTGCCTCTGCAAAGTCCCGCGCGAAGGTTTGCCATCCGCGCGGATCCTCTTCCGGATTCGCTCTGTTGAGGCTCAGGGTTCTGGAATGTGCCGTAAGCAGGCCGCCTGCCCGCCCCTCAAGCGACTCAAGGGTTTACATTTACATGGGCTCCGAAGAATTCGTGCAGGGCTGGCTTGGAGCGCGTGCAGCTTCTACATTACAAGTTACTTCCACTCGTTGCACGGGCGTTTCGGGCACACGTGGAAACTCTTCGCCTGTAGCCCCCATATGCGCATTTCACATTGTCCTGCGGAAACTCGTTCGGGGCAGTTGTGGGCTCCCCGCAGACGGCATACTTGGAGCACCAGCCTCAGGCGACGATTCCCCATAGTGTAGAACCTAACCATAAGGCACCAGCTTGTAAGGAGTCAGGGTTGACCAAATGAAGACAAGCCGTGAACCCAGTGTCTCAGGATTTGTGGCTACCACAGCGATTCGAACCCTGACCAAACAGAATCCCAAAGTGGCGTGAGCCGCTCGTGCTGCCAGTCTTGGCCTATACGTAGCCATGACCCTCTACATGATGGGTTTTTAGCAAGAATCGTGAAGGGTATCCGGCCCCGTCCTCCACATCAAGGCCAGACCGACTCCAAAGCCTAAAACCTAGTTTGTGATTCCAACCTTTTGCCTTCATCTGGACTCTGACTCTCTCCCTCTCTCTCGCCCGCTACATCCGGAGTCTTTGCTCCTGATATTTAGATGGCTCGATGTGTCAGCTTGTGCAGCACCGGGTCTTCTACGATTGCCTTCTTGCTAATTAATCGACTCTGGTCAGACAGGACAGCTAGGAAGATCACCTTGTCACTGACTGTCACAGAGCACACATACACCCACTTCGCTCTGTAAGGCTCAGGGCTCGGAAGCAAAGCGAACAAATCAGTGCTTGCCGTAGCATGGAGTGTAGCCTTTTTGCATCGAAGCGGCCGTCATTCCTTGGGCAGTCGCAGTGAGCAGTTATTGTGTTTTCGTCCGTCCCTCGTAGAAAATGTGCCTGCGCAGTACGTTGTGCAAAGCAGTAGGAACCCAAGTAGCTCCCCCCTGCCATGAAGTTACCTCAAAGGAGGACCAGCCTGGGGCCATGCGCAGTGCCTTTCCCGGCCTTCAGTTTCCAAAATCAGCGTTCTCCTCGGAACTTCTCGAAGGCAATCCTGTGACTTTGACCCACTCAACAAAACCTAGCCCAACCTTCGTGTCTTGAGGCATCTGACTCCAAAAAAACCCAAGGAGGCCCTCCGAATGCTGGAATTTCTGCAAGAGATCAAGCAGGGAGCCATGCATGAGACGACTAAACTGCAGTACTTCAGGATTTCCGACTTCACAGGTGGTGCTTGGCTGTGGGGCTGCCACCGACGGAACATGCTTTGCCGGACGCAGCCGGTCTTACAATATCTTCCAATGTCCTCATTCAAAAGTTGTATAACACGAGCCCTGTAACCCTCCGAAGCTGAGCCGCTGATTGAAGGACACGAAGGCACAGCGCCGATCCTGGAGTTGTGCTGGGTAGGGGACATCCTTGTTCAACATGTGGTGGCTTCGGGGTTTTCAACGTTTGGGAAGTAAGTGCCAGGTTGGAAACTCAGGAGTGCAAGTCTCCCTCTACATGCTTCAGAATTGGCTCGGAGAAGCCTCTGGCACTGAACAAGCTAACTCCCAGGGAAGGCATCCGTCGGGGCTGCACACATATGCTAAGATCTGATTCTGCAGGCAATCGGACCAGCTTTCAACTTGTCGAAAACGCTCACTGTCCTGAAGCAGGAGCAATACAGCCTTGCCTGCAAGTTGTGCATAAGTGGTTCGCTTTATATTGGATGCAGGATTTGGTCCTTGCTGCATTGCGCCTGGCAGCCGACAAGACCTGGAAGTGGGAAGTGGTGGCAGTTATTCTTTGCCTGTGCTGGTGATGTTGTATCGGTAGCTGTTGTCATTACATCAAACTCTGTGCGTCGTACTGTTCCGCAATCTTCGCAAGTACGAGTGTTTATGCGAGCTATCTTAATCCGCATCAGCTCATCGAATGCAGATAAATAATGTAGGCTACAATGTAGGTCTCAGCAAACAGCATTGAGACACATGCGAAACAACATGCAGAGCGTAGACCTGCGAGCTATGAAATTCGGAGTCCGAATACAGGCCGTACAACAAGAACGGTGGTGTAATGCAACCTCGGCCGTGATATTGGTTGGCTCGATGATGGCATTACGTGCGCTACCTCTGTTGGACTTCAGATACAATGCCAACGCTCTGCAGGATCTTCTGAACTGGTTGGATTATTTCTACATTCCTGCTGGTGGTTTAACTCGCTTCTGAGATTCCAGATTGAATTTTATAATGCTAGTTCGCACGCTTTGTTCATGCTTCTCCTGTCGTAGTATGTGCTTTGCGATGCAAGTTGTTCGCGAGTGCGTGTTCTCTCGACCTAGTTCGGCAAGTGTGATCTGAGAGAGGTCCGGCATGGGACGTGAGTTCTCCTGCTCGTGAAAACAAGCAGGAGCAGCGACAATCTGAACACACCCATCGCAAAACTGAAGCCCGCATTACTTCTTGCTTCCCAACTGTCCCACAAGCGAAGCACAACACCACTAGACTTCCAGGACCGCGCTGTAGCCATTGAAGTCATCGCCGATACGGACGGCACCTCCCAGATTGTCGCACCACCTGTCCTGGCCAGATGTGCGAGAGTTCGGCGTCTACCATTACAAGCAACCGGAGTCGAGAACTGCGCATGTTGTTTACATGTGCTGCACAACTGCACGAGCCCACGAGCAGT